TATAATTACACAAATGACTAAACAAACCGCGTGAACTCCAAATCCAAATTTGTTTTGTAACAACTCCAAAGCCAATTAAACACAGCTTTTAGTAGATGGCCCAATCCCCAGCTGTTGTCTCACAAGACACGGCTTCCTCTTTCACCATACGAACCTTCCTCTCTTATATCTTTACTTCTACTACTATATATACATTCTTCCATAATCCCTCAAAACCACAATACCAATAACTCAATACAAGAACTTCACAAATCAGTACAAGAACACAATCAACAAAATGGCGATCAGTTACTTCTTTCCTCTGCTTCTTTCTCTTATTACCATCTCCTCTGTTTCAGCTAATTTCCAAAGAGACGTTGAGATCACTTGGGGAGATGGTCGTGGACAGATCAAGAACAATGGAGATCTTCTCACTTTATCTCTCGACAAATCCTCTGGCTCTGGATTCCAATCCAAAAACGAGTACTTGTTTGGTAAGATCGGCATGCAAATGAAACTCGTACCCGGAAACTCCGCAGGAACAGTCACCACACTCTACGTAAGTCATAAAAAACAACAATCTCAGTTTTGTGGTTCTTTTGTTACATTCTTAAGTTCTTGTTTCTAAAATTGTTTCTTTACTTTCTGCAGTTGAAATCGCCTGGAACAACATGGGACGAGATTGACTTCGAGTTTCTAGGGAATTCAAGTGGAGATCCTTACACACTTCACACTAATGTCTACACACAAGGCAAAGGAGACAAAGAACAACAATTCAAACTCTGGTTCGATCCAACTGCTGATTTCCACACTTACACCATTCTTTGGAACCCACAAAGAATCATTTTCACCGTCGATGGAACTCCCATTAGAGAGTTCAAGAACATGGAATCTATTGGCACTCTGTTTCCCAAGAACAAACCAATGAGGATGTACTCTAGTCTCTGGAACGCAGATGATTGGGCAACCAGAGGCGGTTTGGTCAAAACAGATTGGTCTAAAGCTCCTTTCACTGCTTCGTACCGTGGTTTCAACCAAGAAGCTTGTGTTTGGTCTAACGGCAAGTCTTCTTGTCCTAATGGCTCAAAAAAGGGAACCACTGGCTCGTGGTTGTCCCAAGAGCTTGACTCAACGGCTCAACAAAGGATGAGATGGGTGCAGAGAAACTACATGATCTATAACTATTGTACCGATTCAAAGAGATTCCCTCAAGGTCTTCCTAAAGAGTGCTTAGCTGCGTAGAAGGTGATAGAGAAACAAAAATCTACTTTTCTTTTCTTTTGTTATAAAAAATTATTTCCATTTATTGTAGATCACATGAATTACATTGATTCGTTTAAGACATGAAAGTAAAATATTCTCTATGTTACAATTGTATGTCTTTTTTATAGTCTCTCGTAGTTTGTTCCATTTTACATTTTTCTATGCTCTAAAAGTCCCTCCAAAAATGACCGACTCTGTTTAATTGAGAACTAGGGTTGGACAATCAAAACCAAATCCACACCCAAATGGAGCAATAACTTTTTTCTTCAATTTGTTTATCAAAGAGCAATAACTTCACTGCTCGGTTCTATAATTGAGCAATAATTTTATTGTTCATCTCCAAAAAAAAAACTTTATTATTCGGTTCAATAAATATACCTTTTAAAATCGAAAATCAAAAAAAAAAATTGTATGTAACTTGATTGGTATTCATTAGTTTTATTACCATACAAACCTAATTAAACCGGGTTTAGTCTAATTGAACCGATAATAGTAAACTGAAACTAAGTTTAATTCTATCAATCCA